TGATACAATCTGACTTTAAGAGGAAAGCAATCAAGACAAATGGTAATTCGTCAAAGGGAAGGGCTGGACTGACTAAACCTGGTGACGTTTCTTCCACCCGGGAGAAAAGATCAAGAATTGGCATAAGAATTCCTAATACGTCCCACAAGTAGACACTCATTGAGAGGAAGGCTGCAAAAAAGAATTTCTGTTCTAATGCACAAGCGCCAACTAAGAATACGCTTGGGGTGAAGAAGTGATCCAGCTGTGAAAGGATACCAGCAGGCTCAGTGAAAGTGTGTGACTGGTGGGTGGGTGGGTGCAAGCCAGAGTGAGAAGTGGCCAATGCTGCTTCTGCATAATGAAACATTTCAACGCCCCCTGAGGACATTTTCCTGAATTCCCCACTGAAATTCAGAAGCACCTAGAGGATCACCCACACAAGGGAATACATATTGCAAAAAGTTACATCATTCCCTGGGATGACCTTGTTCTGCTTGAGAGGAAATGTAATCAAACCTCAAAGGAAAAGCCTGGACCAACCCCAGGAGATCTGTTACCCGCTTTACTTTATAGTTTGTACCATCCAGTCCCCAGATGAGATTTTATACTATCAATGCGTGCAGCTTGGTCAGACCTACACGTGACCAAAAATCATGGTCAAATCAAGAAACAAAATTGCAGAAATTGATTTTTTTACTTGATGAGGCGTGTCTAGATCTGCTCACTGAACTATGAGCAGAGTCAACCAAGTGAAGGTTTTATAGATACCCATTATATAAATATGTTTTCTACAGCAATACTCGTAGCAAAAAGCCATTCTAACCAAGCCAGACAATTGCCCACTTGCCAAATTCCAGGTAGAGGTATGCCAAAAAGGACCTGCAACCTCTAGATCCCTCTGGCCATTTCTGGGTTCGCCCTCGTTTCAGCGTTTGCCTGAAACATACTCAAGGAAGATGTCAGCTCTCAAAAGATATGCACGCAGGTGAAAGTGGAGTCATTCAATTAGCAATCACTGCGTAATTAGGCTTTGTATCAAAATAGAAAGTACTATTCTAAAAATAGCAGTGCTGACATATTAGCTCAAAAGGAACAGGCTTTTTAAAAGAGGAAGATGAACAAAATAACGGCGCTGAAGGCCAACATGAAACTGAAGGGCAAAGCAAAGCAATCTAATAGAAAAACAAAATCCATACAAAGTCCCGAACGCTTAACAGTCTCAGACAGCACAGATGGGGTTTGTAATTGCAGTGGTTTTAATAACATTTTCTGAGATAATTCTGTTAGTTTGTCATTGCAAGAACTGGGAAATCAGCGTGGCGTTTCAGATGTCACTGGTGGTAAGTTTTGATAAAGGTCAGTGTTTTTAGGCACTTCAAGGGAGAAAAAGAAAGGAAAGACAATAAACTGGACAAGCTGGAGTTGAGAATACTCTTATCTACCAGTTTATCATCAGCAAAGAAATTTTGTCACTATGACAAAAATTGTCATCGCTGGCCATGAGAATGACCTTGACAGATACGAAGTTCTTTAAAGCGGCAGTTATGGAGCAACCTCAGTAACTTCACTGGCATTAAATCACTACCAGCAAATGGCATTTAGCAGGGGCCTAAAAAAAATAAAGTGTGAAAGAACAGAGATGCCGGGGGGAGGATGTAATATACCCACAATACCAACAACTATTCATAAAAGATTTAAAAGCAACAATATAGCATCTATTTTTAAAAATGGAATTGAGAGAAAACATAAGAAACTGAGCATTTCAGTCATAATTTCTCACTTCTTTATTCAAATTTACCTTTAATTTGTATTTTTATTCATTTCGGACTTTCTCAATTAAGCTCTTCCCTGATACTTTTTTTTTTTTTCTCTTCACCAATGACATACCTCCTGACAAAACCCCTTGGTATTTGAGTATTCAAGCATATTCAGTCATTTTCTTTTCCTTTTCCTGGATAACTTCGTATTTTTCTTTTCTGACCACCTGTAGTTAGGTACGTTTGAATCTTTCTTGATCTTTTACCATCAATCAAGTGCCTACTCTTTATTAATTTTGAAGTTTCTTTTCTTCTTTTTTTTTGCTAACATTTATTTTCTACGACACGTGTGGTTCTTGAGCATGTCAATGCAATCTTGAATGGAAAGGGAGCCTTCATTATCCTCATTCCACCATTCATGGGACATCGAGAAATTACATTTTTATTTAATCTTCCAAGGGAAGACTCTGGCAAATCAGTAGAAGAACCAAATTCTTAGGAGTCTACTCAGAGCCTTGACTAAAACCAAAAAATTCATCCTTTCCACCCATCATATAGGCAACATCTGCTCATTCATATACAAATTACTAACTACATGGGAACGTCTGCGTGAACGCGCACACACAAATACTATTTGAAGTGTAGAATACTATCAATAGATACTACACGAGCGCATTCAACATTTACCAAAAAGATAGATCTAGGTCATGCGTCTTTCTCTCCATGTGCAATCGTTTACTGTTGGACCGGGAAACTGTATGACGGAGCGGTCCCTACAAAGGGATGCCTTCTGCTGGAAATGCCCCGTCGGCAGCAGCAGCAAGAGCCTCTGAGCATCTCCTCCTGCCCGAAGCAGCTAGTATACCCATCTCTTCTGGAAAAGGCCAGAAAGACACAACCCAAAGGCCCCCACAGCTGGATCACGCTACATTAAGGACTCGCCCTCCCATTCCAATCAATGGGACTTGTTTAATTAAGACAATGCGGCACAAATCCAGGGCATAGCTATCACAGCAGTTTAAATTCATCCTAGCTGGAGGCAACCAGTGAGCAGTACTGGGGAAAAAATGTCCTCCACCAGATTCGTTCAATTAATTCAAGTAGCAAACGCCTGTTAACAGGTCTGTGTACCTTATGCAGAATATCCAGTGCCAACAAGAAGTGTGTTTAAAACCGGAATACTGTACAAAATAATACCTGTGAAAGCGATTTCCAATTCTGGTAGGATTTTTTTTTAATTTAGAAAACTTCATTTACTTTTCCATCATAAAGAAAAGCCTTTATGAAGACTTTGAGGGATAATGCTTCATGAAAGTATCATTTTTACAATTATTTCTCTTACCATGCTCAAAATCTTAACATTAAAGACATTACTTTATCTTCTTATGCACATTAAAAGGCCGATAAATGCATGAAGAAATCATCCAGTTAGGTCATTAGGAAAGGAGTTTGCTAAATTTTTGAGCAATGGAAATACAATATTTCTCATCTTTAATGGAAGTAGAGCATGGGGAGTAATAGACCATCAGTTGTCCTGAGAGAGTTCTTTAGCAGTCGCTTTGGGGCAAAAAGCATAATAAAGAGAATATTTTAACAATCTTGGAGCCAGGCAGCTTAAAGATCTTTTCAGTTTTTCTCTCTTATCTTAAAATGCAATGAATGTACGGAAAAACCTATTCATTTTATAGACCTATTCGTTTGTCTCCTGCTCTCTACTTACTTTACACCATCCATCATAAATATGTAACATCAAACAGCAAAAAGCCCCTCCAGGTCCCAGTTTCCCTGGTCTGCGCAAGCAAGATGTGGAGCTACCCAGGCTTAGGATGGACTCTGACAAATCAAAACCTTTTACAAACTTGCCTGTGTTCCTAAAGATCAGGGAACGCGCTACACAAGAGGATTGAGAAAAACATCTCTCACAGGCCCAGCGATGCTTCCCAAAATGCTCTTCAACCAAGATAGTCCCTAGCCAGGCTGTTAAATCAGATCGCTCTCCTCTTGCACTGCTCACGTACCCCAGCAAGATTAAGCTAAGGGCCATTATCTGGCCTACAGACAGTAAGTGCTAGGAAAATTTAATTTGAAATTAATCTACCCCTGAAGCGTGACTGGTTTTTCTCATCATCTTAGCTTACACCATTACTGCAAAAATGGTATTTGCGGTCACTGAATGACGCACTAGGACTCCATTTGAACACTGTTAGTTAGCTCGATGATTTACTCTGAGAATGTCACAAGCTGACTAGATGCTTTGGAAAGAAGCAGTTTCTTTATTGTATATAGTCCTCATCCATACCATCTGTTCAGTTCTGCATAGCTGCAGACCGTTGCTGTCGTTAAGGGAGCATTTACAAACATTACACTATTTATTTGAGAAACTGCTCCTAATCCTAAATAGAGGAAATAATGGGTATCTCAAATAGGCATTAGGAGAACGTGGTCAATTAAGCTATCGTGCTAATAGCGTGTCTGTTTGGGAGGGCAGAGGAGATAGGGCAGTTAGCTCAAAAACCAAACCATCACCTAGCTACTTTGCAGTACGTTGCTCACTGCAAATCTAATGCACGTTGTTTTTACAGCTCCGAAATCACAGCAGGCAGGCAGCTCGCCTCTACAGCCTCGCCCAGACCAGCGAGAGAAGAACTGGCCATCGGTCCCTCTCTGCAACACCACCGTGTTCTCTGGTACGTTTTGGAAGAGCAGACAAGCTTCATGTCAGTGGAAATAACAGGGCTCTCTCTAGAATTGGTTTGCCCACCAGGACAAGGTGAATTTCCCCAATTCAAATGTAGGTTCCAAACTTTTCACTTAAATTCTTTCTGATGACACAAAGAAGGAGTTTAGAAGCCTGGAGTTAAGTTATCTGCAAATTTTTAGGCAACAAAACCACAAAAAGCAATTCTGTAAATCAAGTCTTTGAGAAATTACCTTCTTCGTTACTGCTCACCTAATTCAACTCAAACATATGATGCAATGTTTCTACACTCTGAGAAATTTCTGAAATGATTTATTAAAGCACACTAGGAAATCCTAAAACATTTCAATCAACCATGAGAGTTCCTGTGTCACCCAATGAGTACACAACGACTTCCACTTGCTATTTACTTTTATTTTACTTACCGCTGAATGCTACATAAGCCTCAGTTTGATTGATTTGTCAGGATCGGACGTTTGGAATCACTGCCTAACATCTCAGATCTAGCCTATAAAATTTCACCAAATAACTTTTAGAAAAGAGAAGGGAAAATAGCACCATACCTGAGACTGTGCATTAATATTGGCTCCTTCCTTAACCAGAACTTTGACAACTTCGGCTTGTCCTGCTAAGGATGCAATGTGCAGGGCTGTATTCCCTTTCTGTTACAGGGAAGGAGAAAAAGGAAAGATGTTACCCTTCTTTAGGAACAATTTCAGCCAGCAGTTCTTTGTAACATTCATTCTTTGTACAATTTTACCTTACAGTTCCAGGATGTTCCATCAACATCACAGAGGACAGAACTGGTAGTTGCAGCCATGAAGATTTCTCGAGCGTTCACGTAACATCCTAACATAACTTTTGAGTGAAATTATGGAATGCTACTGGGGCATGGGACAAACTTCTAGGTAAAGTGTAGGATGGGCTAACAGTTTTTTTCATTCAGGTCCAGAGATCATGCCCTGGAGAAGGTAGCTAAAATCTTGGGAGTCCTAAAATTCAAGCTGTGAATCACATGTGAAACGAGATTTCCCGGTACAAGACCCAAAAGGAAGATCTGACTGATAAGTAACAGAAACCAACCTTTTAAAAGCAGAAGATAAACCTTTTTTTTCCCCTCTTTTCTAACTGGCCTAAAACCGAAATGCGTATTTTTGAAAGGTGTTAACTTTAACTTAAGAGATGCGCTGCACAACAAAAATAATCTCTCACAAACCAGCAGCAGTGCAGTAGAGCGCTGCTTTTGTTAAGAGCCTTGTATTTTATCCAGGCCAATCTCCCATCCTGAGGATAATATTTAAACAACTTTAATAAACAAACAAGGTTCATAAAACCAGAACAAACACCCAAAGTCCTATCTAGACCCTGGTGGTTCTACCAACAGCTTCGCTGAAGGGTGACTTAAAGATCTTTCTGAAGAGGGAACTTCTGTTTTTCCATCAATGATGGAAATCACAAGTTCAGCAAGAAGCGGTCCGAGCTGAGGACCAAGCGTTAACCTTGACGGAGATCCTGGGCATCAGTAATCATAAAAAATAAGAGAGCCTCAGGGACACAGTGGTGGTAACTGAACGCAAAGGCTGAGCACAGCCAGCCAACCTAGCCACTAGGAGTCAAACGTTACATCGTTCAAGCCAACAAATCTGGCCCATCACAAGGAATTTACCACCCACAGACGAATAACATACAGATTGAACGTTTTGGACATACCCATGTGCCTGCCTGTGGAAAGGCTGAAGGCAAAACAGATTATCATACAGGTGTTTTTTCCATCGTGTCCTTGAGTGAAAAGGCTCTGGCTATGATACAGTCAATTACCAATTCTCACAGATTTGAAAAAACAACAAAAAAAAAATCTACTATGTTGACCTATATTCACTCTCTATAAGGGGGACGAGTCATTGGAAATAAGGAAAAATTTGGCATTGCTCAAACCTTTTAATGCTTCCCCTGTACAAATAATCTGTACAAATAATAATCTTTACGTCTTCATTTACTACTGATGACCTTCAGCAAAGAACAGAGACTCAGGCCAAAATAGAAATAACTTTTTAAATATCAGTGAGGTATTTATATTATCTTATTTTGTACTTTAATAACTTTTTTTCCTAAATTTTCTCCCATGTATTTGACTCTGTCTCTTTGTGAATAGACTTATAGACATGCATGAATTACCTTAGTGGCAGAATCCACAGCCGACCCTCTTTCCAATAATTCTTGTACCAGTCCCACATGGCCTTCTTTAGCCGCCAGGTGCAGAGCATTGAGTCCATTCTGTAAGCACAAGGGCCATATCGATTACCAACAGCAGCTCTGAAGATACGCATTCCTACCTTACCCTGGTATAAGAAGCAGATTAGTAGCTGGAATACTATTACATCTCTTGGCTGACTGTCTACATAAGTCAGATATTTTGGACTTGGCTACTTAAGCCAAGGCACTGTGTGACAAACTTCTCCAATAACTTTTTTCTCATAGCAACAAAGACATCAAAACAAACTGTAATTTGCAAGTATCAGTAAGAGATTCCTTTCTTTCTGATAGTTTTGCGATTCCAGAGACTACTACCTTGGGTATCTCCACAGAGCCCATTATTTCAAAACTTGAGTGCGTATCTGCCTTCTCTTTTCTGTAACCTTATCTAGCCCCACTGAGGTATTATCCACACAGAGAAATCACAGGACTTAGCCAAATTTACACGGGAGGTGTCTGTTCAAGCAGGATTATTCCAGGCGGATGGAGCTGTCCTGAACCCTGGACTCTCCCCTCCCCTCCTCTGGGATAACTGGTATCAAACAGAAAACCAAAAGCACAAGTAGACCAGAATGGTTTTTGGTAACATGTGGTTTGCAAATTATTTTGATCCTTGACTTCATACCTCTGCTGGTTTCTGATGAGCAAGTCTTCGCTAAGCTTTGAGGGTCTGTAACCTCATTCAAATAGGGAGAGAAAATTAATGAAATAAGAGCTAGGACTTTCAACAAAAAGCAACCTGAGAAAGTTAGCGTCTAAATCCTTTCCACATTAAATAGGAATAGGATACTTTATCTAATAATTTCCAGCCATGGAAACTATATCTTTCTTTTCCTAGCATCCCCATTCCACCCAGGGGAAAAATATGACAGTGTTGTAACTGAATTGCCAACCTATTTTTCACAATCCTGCGGTATTTTTCACGGTACATCAGGCAGGTGACAGCCACAGATACTGCCATCACCCTCAAGCATTCTCCTCTTTTCCATATTGCAGGCATCACAAGTGATGCTCAGGTATTTGAGTAACTTGCAGCGTGTTTAGCACTGTGTAATTTTTATCACTTTACTTGTCACTAGGTGGTTCATAGTCATGTAAATTATGGAATAAACAAGCAGCTTTCTGGTCTTTTATTTGTCCGTCCACAGAGGCAGTTCAAGCTTGTAATTCCCAGTAGGATTTTAAAGCACTTAGCACTTCACGGGAGGCATTTAATGGGAGTGGGTCCAATGGCTGCAGACCCAGCAATCCAAATGCATTTCTGAAGTTAACTCCATTTAATTCTACATTCATGTAAGCAGCACAGGCAGACGTTGCGGTCAAGTTCAGAAGCGTAACTATGAGAAGAGCAAAGGAACCGAAGGCAGGCTACATTCACAAGCTGCCAAAAGAAGAAGAACACCCTTACGCAGCCTGGTAGTTAGGAAACGTTAATGAGAAATGTGGTTTCAAATCCCATTCTGTGGGTAAAGCAGCAGCAACCAGATCTTCCTAATTTCAGAGGAACGCTCTTGCTACTGAGCTGCAGAGCCCAGGGGCAGCAGGAGTGCCACACCCTGGATCGAGGATAAATTCTTAGCCAAAATTACATGGTGAGGTTGACCATAATCAGCAAGATGAGGAACGCTTAACGCATCAGTGAGCTTTCTGCAGGCTGAAAACATTTCAGAAAGCTCTAATCTTCCTTGTTTTTTAATCTCAGCTGAGTATTAAATAACCATAATTACTACCTACAGTGGTTGAAAGCTTTGCAATAGCATCTTGTGGGGAAACACAGTCGTCTTCTCGTTGTTTGAGAAGAAAGACCTGTTCTCATATCCAATCTCACAAATCAACAGCCATCAACACTTTCTGGGAGAGCATGAACGGTAGCTTTGGCTCCTTACAGTTGTACAAAGCTGATGTATGGCTATGAGATGTTATTAACCATTTTCACTCTTTCTGAGCAGACTGAAGTCCACAAACAGCACAGGAACTGCAATATTGCTTGGCCCACGTGAATTATGCACACGCACGCGCCTCTCAAAGCAAAAAGCTGAGGGCAAGCTGGTTTTTTTTAGCTTAACCGTGTGCCAAAGTATAGAGAAAGCAAGGCTTGTCCCAGAGCTTCATCAGCAGCAATCTCTTAAAATACCTATATGCGTACCTCTGAGACACGTACCTACTGATACCACATTGAGGTAATATGGTTGCATAGATTATGTGCGTTTCTTTGCAACACGTGGCCTTTTTTATTCATTAAAACATAACCAAAATGGATACCTGAGGTCCAGTAAAAAGCTTACAGAAAGAAACTCCAGCCTAAATACAGTTCCTACGGTACACCTTCAAATTCCGCTATTCCTTAACTAAAGTAAGCTGGGGTAAGCAGCAGCAGAAGCAAGCACTGCACTTTAAACGTTGAGGGCCAGCGCGACTGCAGCCTTAAAGCAAGCTTTGTTCCTCCATCATCAGAACCAACGCCGTAATTATTTCCCCACCCACATGGCTGATCCCTGCTACTTAGGATGACGGAAGCTCAGATTTAATCAATGCAACTCCTCCGTTCCCGTCAACTGGATTCTTGTATTTTAGCACAACAAAGGTTTCTGGCACTTCCCTTTTTCTCCCCCACGCCTACCAAAAAATTGTGGGGTGGGGGGGATGAAATTAGTTGTCGGCTAAGCAAAACTGTACAGCACAGGGACCGCTCCTCCCCACAAAGCATATGTATACCATAACCACCTTTCTTCTAGAGACTCATTCGTAATTCTAACTCTCATAAAAGAAAATAAAACTATGCCTTCCAAGCTTGGTTCTTCCAGTGTTTCCCTGCAGAGCCCAGTTCCCTCAGTTCTTTTTCTCCCCTACCGCTGAGCCAGAGGCGTCAACGTTTTGCATCCCGTAGAGCGCGACAAACGTGCACGCATACCAGTACTGCTCACAGCACTTATTACAGCGTCACCCTATGTATTTTCACCACACCAGAAAAGCCCACAGATTTCTTGTACATCACAGAAATCACCAACCTTTCCTAAGCCGACTGAAAGTCAGTCACTTTTTCCCCCATCAGACAGGCGCTATGTCTCGCTGCTAGTGTCTGAAAAGCACCCAAGGAAGCCCAAGCTACTTCTGCCTTTGTATTTAGTTGCCTCACGGAGCAATCCTCATGGAATGGAAGTTCTTCAGCCGCTGCCTGGCTCAACGTCAATCCTGCTGGGCCATTTACTTCTTCTGGGACATCACCCAGACCACTGTTAGGTCCAACAGCAATAACAGCTTATACCGTTCCTGCCTAAGCCTGTCATGCCAAAGCCAACTGACCCCATGGAAAGGCAGCTTCTGGGCAGAGCATCAGATAGCAACCTTATAGTTCAAAGAACACTTTAAATCAGCAAAGTCAGCGCTGCTACCAGAAGTGCTTCTGCTTCTCCTGACCTCTCCTCCGCTCACTTCTACCCCCAGCCACCCTTTCTGCAGATCAGGTCCCTCCATCATTCCGTGTGAGGCTGCCAACATGATTCTGCCGGCGCAGGGGAGAGCACAGCATGGAAGCATGACCACCAAAGCCAGGGCAAGGCCAGGATCACTTCTTCTGTAGCGGTATGGGCTTATTAAAATGAGAAAATACAGCCCCAGCAGTTGTCTAGCATTACTGCAGCTTCACTGACAAACCGCATACCAAAGCTGCGATATGGGGACACGCTCTCACACCCTCCCCTCTACGCTCAGCTGTGGCAGGTATAGACGATAACCTGGTAGTCCTAGAAAGCTTTACTCAACCTTCTGCTGGTGCGACTTAGTGGGAAGTACAAGGAACATAAAAATGTATGGATGGGGGAAAGCAAGTGAAGGAAGTGGGGGAAAATTCTTTATACAGGTGAACATTTGCTCGTGTTACTTCAGTATATTACGGTTTTGGCATTAAAGGAGACAACCTTCGTTAAATATAATGACTCTACCTTCTCTGATGTTTACTTCCATTTGAAAGTATTCATCAAGTACTTAATATCTTTAAGAACATTAGGAAGCAAGAATGTATATTAACAAAATTAACCCTCCTCTTTCCTTTACGCTGAGTCTGACCCCCTCTAACTGCCATCCACTCCAACGAAGTTGGGTTGCACCACCTCCCAGGAAGATTTGCTAACATTTGAGTTTCTAATTACTCTTGCCTTTGCCACACAGGGTTAGAATGGCATTTAAGCAACTTACAGAAAAAAAAAAAACCCATCATGAAAGTCAACAAAAAGAAAATAATCCAACAATCTATTTGTGTGTGTGTGTTTCAACATTCTCTTGAAGCATGAAATGCAACGCACTTTTACCAAGTTCCTTCCATTACTTGTCACTAGGCGGTTCATAGTCATTTAAATTATGGAATAAACAAGCAGCTTTCTGGTCTTTTATTTGTCCGTCCACAGAGGCAGTTCAAGCTTGTAATTCCCAGTAGGATTTTAAAGCACTTAGCACTTCACGGGAGGCATTTAATGGGAGTGGGTCCAATGGCTGCAGACCCAGCAATCCAAATGCATTTCTGAAGTTAACTCCATTTAATTCTACATTCATGTAAGCAGCACAGGCAGACGTTGCGGTCAAGTTCAGAAGCGTAACTATGAGAAGAGCAAAGGAACCGAAGGCAGGCTACATTCACAAGCTGCCAAAAGAAGAACACCCTTACGCAGCCTGGTAGTTAGGAAACGTTAATGAGAAATGTGGTTTCAAATCCCATTCTGTGGGTAAAGCAGCAGCAACCAGATCTTCCTAATTTCAGAGGAACGCTCTTGCTACTGAGCTGCAGAGCCCAGGGGCAGCAGGAGTGCCACACCCTGGATCGAGGATAAATTCTTAGCCAAAATTACATGGTGAGGTTGACCATAATCAGCAAGATGAGGAACGCTTAACGCATCAGTGAGCTTTCTGCAGGCTGAAAACATTTCAGAAAGCTCTAATCTTCCTTGTTTTTTAATCTCAGCTGAGTATTAAATAACCATAATTACTACCTACAGTGGTTGAAAGCTTTGCAATAGCATCTTGTGGGG